ATGTCCACAGAGTCAGACAAGAGCCCCAATGGGGTCTGCAGTTTTGTGTTTTGGTTTTTTTTTGATTTTCGAGGTTTTTGCATGGTCTGCTCCAGATGGCCAGAACCTCGAAAATCAAAAAAAACAAAAAACAAAACTGCAGACCACATGTCCACAGAGTCAGACAAGAGCCCCAATGGGGCTGTATACTGTTGTTATCATATCAAATTGCCCTTTGCTCTGCGAAATCCATGTAGAACCCTTCAAAACCTTGCAAAATCAAGATTTTCACATCTCCCCCCCCCTTACCCCCCGCTCTCTTAATATATTGTTCATCCTATGAATATATATCATTTTATTTTTCTATAATTATCAAAAAGTTGCAATAATTTCAATTTTATCCGGTCCGGCGTCATCTTCCCATTAATGGCCGGTTCATTCCTTTGTCAAAAGCCCATATCGGCATCTGATAGTCGATGTCATTTTTCATCAAAAATATTAGAACCTTTATATTTTTAGATTTCTTTACAAATTGTAATATAATTTATCCGTATATATACAAAGACAATTATTATCGAAACCTTCCTTCATCCATCATTGCATATACGAATAAATTAGCATCATATAACGATCAAAAATTCATATCGTTAATATCACATTCATCAAAAAAATCAATATTTCTGAAGTTTTAAGCATTCCCATCATTATTCCGATTTATGCCATTAATACAATTACGAAATTGAATATATACCCATATCAATTTCAACGATCTATATCCCTTTTTATTCATAATAAAATATCAATAATATCGAAAATAAGTTAAATCAAAAACTAAAATATATCGATATATCTTCTTTATTCCATAAGATAGAATTTGATTATCCCCGTGCGAATTTCAGGTGAGGGTTGTGCTCCCCATTCTATAGTCATAAAATTGGGACACCCAATCCTGGGGTACCCCACAAAACTCTATAGAATCAAAACCTCTAGAAGATCGAGGCGGCCCCTTAACATCAGAAATGCCACAAGTGCCCAAGATGAACCTATATAAAATGAATAACCAGCATCTGGGTAGGATAAGAGGTCGAATTTACTTTTAAAAAACGCAAAGTGTCAATTTGTCGCTATATAAAACATACATGAACAAATTCATTATTCCCATGACGTTCTATACAATGAGAATCACTAGCCTCTACAAAAACAACACCCTCTATAGAATCAATGCAACCGATGCGACTAAGACTGAAGACTCTATTGAATTCAATTCAGTGAACATAGTGAACAAGCAAAATATCCTCTATAAAATCGAAGACACTCTCTATATATAGAATCAACAACTTCATGAATCAAGGCTAAGTTCTAACATCCAAAAAATGATCATTTTCTGATATCATGCAAATGATACTGATAATGGAGGCTTTAATTCTATAGAGAAGCTACTCTCTATAAAATGACATCAAAATTGGGTGGTCGACCTCCCCCTTTTTATAGAGGAAATTAGCAGGAGGATATTTGATTAATATATATATATTGAATTAAATAATTATATCGAATAAATTGAAAATATATCGATATAAATTCTTTAAACATATTATTTTATCGAATAAAAATCGAAACGAACATCAATCTCCAAAAATATATAAATATAAGAATATCTTTCAAATCGAATACGTATAAAAAAATCTATCACAAAAATTAGAATAAAGAATAATAAGGGCGTCCCTAATCTTGTTATTTAAGACAAGATTTAAAAGATATCCCTAAATTAAAAAAATATATTTATCTCCGTCTGTACGACAGGTTATTTATCCCCGTCTGTACGACGGGTTGGCTTGAATATTCAACAATATATAAAATGTTAGAAATAGATGAAATCAAATACGAATTCTATATGTATTATCCTATATGACAAATGATCTTTTTAAGGATTAAAATTACTATAAAATCGTTCTACTCCAATCTATTAAAAACCATCGATGAAAAATATAATCCAAAACATTTTCCTAGGAAACCTCCGACCTGTATTTATATTTTCTGGGAAGGATCGATTAAAATATACGAGGGATTTTCCAAATATAGGATTTATTGAAATATTATTATTCTTTCTTTGGGCATATGCTAAGATTGGACGTTATAACGTATAAATAAATGAATTGTTGTGAACATCAAACTATTTAGGTTTTTTGAAATAACGATCCTAATCAATTCTTATTTATATAGATTGATATAATTAATCATTTGAATCATTTGGATATGCAATTCTTATGAATCTTGGGGAATTATCTATCATTATCAAATTTTTAAAGAAATATATATTGACGATGAATTTACCAATAAATGGATATTGAATATTTATATTTTCTAAATTATCCATAGAATTTCATCATAGGATATTATATTAATTTCAGGATTTTACAAAATTATTCTCCTCTTAAAATGATAAATAATCATGGGAATTCATAGAAGATAATCAAAGATTGTGGATAAATTCGAATTTTGGTGATATTCGGTTAAATTGATATAATGATTTGTCCGAATATTTTGGTACAATATTAAATTCTATTATTTTTCCTAGGCAAAATTTTCGAAATTTTCTAGAAGATATTATAATAAAGATTTCGCTATTTATTATTATTTATTCGTTCGAATTTAATAATTAAACCTTTGAATTTTTTGAATAGTATTATCATCCTTTATTCCAAAGAGAATACGAAATAATAAATATTTTCAATTATAACCATATCATTTCAAATCAATACGTATGTATAAATTAGATTATTATATATTTCTTTATTTTATTTTAAAGATCATCCCATAAATAATATTCAATATATCAATATATATTAATTTCTTTCCTAAAATTCAATAAAAGAATTATAAATAATATATATTAAACTAAAAATAAAAATTTACAATAAATATATATATATATAAATACAAAATACAAAAATATACGATTCAAAGAATACATGAAAAAAATTAATATATTATATATTTATATATATTATTTTGAAATATGTATTTCTTTAAAAACTATAACCTGTTTTTTTCATATATATGTTATTTTTCGATAAATTGCAAAATATATTTCAATATATCCCTATAAATTAATGTATTCGTTTTATTATGTCGTATTTTTCTCGAGAAAATGGGAGTATAAAAAATGTTTGTTAAAATATTTATCGTATTTTCCTAAATTATGTTCATTTTTAATTTATTGGTACTATATATATATATTTATAATGAAATTGCAATAAATTCCTAGCTACACGTATGTTTTTCAATAATAATATTATTTATCAATTTTGTCAATATTAATATAATTCCAAACCGATCTATTCGTATAATAATCCCGCGATATAATTGGGCCAATTTACTAGCATAACTATATATATATCTTTATCGTAATTAAAATATAAATCTACCGTAATTATAACGTAATATCAATATAATTGCCAATTTTTCAATAACCCAATTTTTTAAAAAAAATTAGATTCGAACATATCTTTATCGTAATTCTTTATAAATTTAATTATAACGTAATTTTAATTCCTACAATATTTTATCAAGAAAAAATATATACATATAAATATTTACAAAAAATAACATAAATATAAAGATGTTTTCAAATTTATTGTTTGCTTAAAAATTATATTACCAAGATTTATTTAAAATTATATATATAGCTATATATTTTAATAAAATATTAACGAAATTATTCCCTCGATATTTTTGAATATCGAATAAAAAATAATACCGTAAAATTGTACCGCATTTTCTATATTCAAATTAAATTTCGTTATTAGATACGTAACAAAAAAAATATTAAATATAAGATCTATAATAAATTTCCGTCCGATGTTTTTTAAATTAATACGCCCATTATATTAATATTATATAATTGTCCATATTCCATATCGGGTGCCCTTTTGCGTCCGGCCAACAAACCTCTTTATAATAAATTTAAGCGGGGAAACACGAAAGATAGAGACGGACCGAGTAGCTGTCGGGACCTTCTCTAGTGAGGGACTGTTTCCGGTGTTTCAAGAACATTTCCCTTGGTCAATCATAGATAAAACCAACAAAGCCAGAGAACACAAGAAGGCATAAGAAGGCTCAAGAGGAACACCGTTGCGGTTAGATTGCCCCCCACGGCTCTACAAAAAGCCTGCGACACTCGTTTGTGTCTAAGTGTGTGACAACAAGCGTGCGTAAAAATCGCAATGCGTAAATGTTCGTATGTATACCAGCTATGGTCCCACAGCTGCACGCACTGGGTCAAAATTACAGGCCTGCACGTCGTAACCAACCCCCTTATAAAACAAATACTAGAGAGATGCGGTCGGTATTACGAGGAATCGACGTCACGCTATAATGGATATCCTCCATGATGCGATAAAATTTCGTCACGCTAGGGTATAAAGTTAAGTCGAATGGTGTTCCGCGACGAGAGGGATTTCTCTACAGGGCTTTCCAGAAAAGGTGTGTTGCATCGATGCTCGTAAGTGTCGAGTAAAATGGTCTGTAAGCGCAATACGCGCTGTATCAGGCTGCCGGCTACGCACGCACGGCATCGAAGCTGCATGGCGCGACCTCATTATGCAAAGCTCGTGCTATATTGCGTACCCTCATAGCCAATATCGTATTGCTATAATTGTTAAGTGCATAATTTCATTTTATATCCAAAATTTTTATAGTACTAGCGACGAAAGGAGGAGACTAGAAGAAAGGGGAGAAGAATCGAATCAATTAATTTATCAATCATTCATTATATGGGAGGAAGGAGGGAATAGAGGCGTTAGATATTAATCTACCAATTTTTAGTTCCGAGCAAGCTCTCAAATCAATCCCGTTTCTTCGCAAAGCAAATTCAAGATAGTCCTTACCAAGCTACCTTTCGTAAAATTCAGATTTGCAAGCAATTCAAAATTTACCCATTATATTTGGTTCTCTTTCCTACCCTCATAAATCATCCATTATTCACATATATCCCTTTCGCCCCTAATCGAATGCTATTTCACTTGCCACCAAAGACGCACTTTTCCTTGTCCCGGAAAAATTCGAACCACTTTTCGCGTCGCGTTATCTCCTCTTTCCTATCATTACTCGAAGGGCGATTTAAATTGGCGCCTAAATCCCTCATAATGCTAATAATGTGCCTATGGTCGTCAATTATATCCCCTATATCAATACCCCAAAAACCACTCCCAACTGCAAGTACTTTTAATCGCTCTCCCCCACCAGGCTCTGGGTTCACCTCCGAAATTGGCCCATGCGACCACGCCCTCACACCCCCTAATACTCACTTCGTTTGCCCAACCCAACTCCAGCCGAGCCTATCGGCTGGCTTTCGTGACTCTATTGAAATCAATAAAATATAATATATCTTTGTTATTAATTATTGTTATTATATTATACGTCCATTAATTGATTTGGATCATTTGGAATCAAAACCAAAAATTCACAGAAATGGATGTGGTAAGAGATCGTACATAATGCCACCATCGCCTTGGAATGAAAAGCATGTCTCCTGGTCCCAGGATGGTCTCCACAAAAGCAGCATGAGCAAAGTCAGGGTGCACCTGGCGGGAAGAGCAGAGAACCTACATAAGGTTCGTGGAGTCCCTTTTCCCCTCGCCTTTCGGTTTCTGACATTGTTAGCTGGGCAATTTGGAGCAACTCAGCGACCCCAAACCGCTACCTCGAGATCAGGATGCTCGACACGGACAGGTGAGTAGGAGGCCCCGTGTTTTTTCTGACGATCTCGAGGAGCATCCCTTGCATAGAGCCGTTCCCCCTCAGCTGGGCTATAAAGGCGCAAGTACCTCAGCAACAACTGCACTGTCATTGTCTGCAGCTCTTGAGGACTTTTTGTACAGTAAGGCTCGCACACTTTGCGCATGTACAGGAGGATCACAAAAGGGGGTGTTTAAATACTTTGAAGAGGTCTTGCCATTCATACCAACCAAGATACTTATAGCCAGAGACTTGCACAAGAAAGTTGTCGTCCAAATCATAATGCAAAGCAGTGACAGTGCCAGCAGTCCCAATCCAAACGTTCACTGTCTGGAGCTCTCCCAAGGCGCAATATTGCGGAATTAAAATATCTCTTCGCAGCTCTGGAATTTGCAAAAGCAACTGATGCTGTGCCATGTAGGCGACAGGAGAAGCTGACCACTCATCAATGGCTTCAGACGACCTGACAAATCCGTTCTTCAGAACTGTATTGGAAGGCAGTAAAAAGCGCCTTACAAAGTCACCGAGCCGCATGCTTCCCTCGGAGTCTGAATGCTGAAGGGCTATACTTTGCGCATCATTCTCGTGAAATCCCATCTCAATTGGAATGGTCCTATGGCCGTGACGCCCGGCCCAGAACCTCAAATCACTCCACCTTGCAGTGCTCCATCCAGCAGAGAGCAGGTGACCTTCAATCACTCCAGGCTGTTGGGTCTTCAGAAAAGCATCTCGGAAACCCATCACCGAAAGATGTGAACACGGCTTTCGAATTATGGGCTTTTGAACTTCTGGTGTTTTTGCCGTTGCTGGTAGCATGCTTGGTATTTCCCATGCTAGACCATCCTCAAGGATGGGAAGCACGTTTTGACAGCGTTCGTTGCACAGCTTCATGACCGTATGGACTGCTGCGATCGGGAGATCGGGACACAAAGACAGTGACAGGTCTGCATGAAGCATTGCTTTTTGTTCATCAGCTTCAGTTGCAGCCAGCATCGCATGCGACAAGGCGTGGGCATGCAGCACCGCTTCAGTGGGAGACTTCTGCAAGAGGTGCCAGGCGGCAGCAGCGCATTGTGCGGCTGCCTTGGCGCATTGGTCCAAATGGCCTGCATCAAAGGCTTTTGCGGCTTCCAGCAGCAGGGCTGAAGCAGCTCGTCCCTCCGCCATCAAAAGGTCGCAGGCGGTTGGAACATATTCATCCAACGCATCCTTGCCATTGGGAAGGCTCAACTCAAGAAGAATAATAGGTAAGAAAAAAACAGCAGGTTCTCGTAGCTGGGTGCTCAAAGCAAGTAAGTAATGGATCCTCTGGGATGCCCCTCAAAATAACCGTTCCAGCTCCAAATGCACATAGAACGCTTGTGGACTTGCGTTTGGAAGAGTGAGTAACCTAGTCGAAGGCGAACATCTTGCAAAGCAACTATACGGGTATGTTTATGTGTATGTATAGGCATGCAGCAAATTCACAGATACACAGGCAGCTGCATGCAAATGTGTCAATCTATTTTACCGTGGTTGGAGCTTTCTGGGAGCCCATGTGTGCATAGAATTATTGTGTATTTATTTTCCATTGCTAATTACATCTAATTACTGTAGTCATTCCGTCCTTTAGAGGCTCATCCGCAAAAATGCGCTTCTTGAAGTAAGGATGCTCTTCCGCCGCAACACCGCCGACTCCACCTGATGTGCCAACCTCCGGCACCGGAGCCGGTGCTTCACCGAACAGTGTCCACTCAGGCTCGCAGGAGTTGTGTTCCATGGGCCGTTTCATGGAAGAAGGGGCTCCGAGAGGCTTGCGTTTGGGTGCCCCATGTTCAAGATCAAACGCGAAGTCTCAGGTTCGAAGGCTTGCTGCACTAATCGCACTACTTATGGTTTGTGCTCGTGTTGTTGTTTGAGGGTGTGAAACTCTGTGGGATAGGATCTATGCATATCTACCCTGTTCAATGGCCCGACATCATAACTCAAAGACCATGGGCTGAAACGTAGCTGCTGAAACGCAAACATCGCAGTGCCAATAGTTACAGTATGTTACAGTATATAGCAGTTGCTGAAACGTACAGAGTTGTGGAGTATTTTATTTGACTGGGTTGTTCCTGTTCAGTTTGAAAACATCCAACTTCCAACCAGAATCAGAAGTGGCTGCAGGAGTTGTGACTTGGGTCGGTTCTTGCGGATGCTTGTTGATTGCACTGCGCAAGTTCCCTAGTTGATTGCATGCAGTCAGTGTCGACCTGAAAGCTCAAGAATGCAAAGCTTTTGCAGGGTCCAGCGAGGCCGCAACAAGATCAGCCTTACATGGTTCCGCTTATGGATCTGCTTTCGCAGTGCGGTTCACTGCTATTCCAATTCTTAAGAACATGTAATTGTATACATCATTTGACCCAGGTTCTCCATTATCGGTAGTAGTATTCTGTGTGTTGACAGTGCCAGTGTAGGCTCACAAGAGGTTCTTGCAGTTTTGGGACTGGACAATGACTCCTTGAAACGGCTCTATGAGGCTGGGGTTCCTACGAGAATCCCAGAGAACCCTCCAACAGGAATCGAAAAGGGGATCCAAATGGCTATCCGACGATCTCCCTATGCAACGATCTCTTGATTCCTTTCCACAATTACTTTTTCATAAAGATCGGTTTGCCCTTGAGCGTTTCGTTTCTTTCTTTGGTCTTTTATAGCCTTATAGGGAAGCTCCAATCGCATGCCTTGTCAAACACCCCCCAAACTTCCAGTCTTCCCTTTGGAAACTGTCGAAACTATGCCAAGTTTGTGAGATTTTGCTGGAAGGGTTTCTGACCAGCCTATGTAGCCAACGGGAGTAGCTTGTCCACTTTGGAGTCGAGAAATCTGAGGACTCTTCAAATCATGATTGAGACAGCCCCTGTCTTTGTCCTCATCTACAACCGGTCAGAGTCATAAGCTTGGATCCAAGTTGAAAATAACTGATAAAAATGTCGAAAATGGATGAACACGGATCCAGCCTGGCCATCATTGTCAAAAAGGATTGCACGCGTGGACGTTGTGCCCTGGTCAATGGCCAGCACATAGGAGGGCGCCATGCTGTACCACCGACCCCAGCAAAACACTAGGCCGACTTGATTGGTACACAGGTACCGCTGAAGCGCATCCAGGCTGCAGAACAAATGTGTGTCATTACTTCCTCTGTTTTGTAGTCCGTCTAGTGTGTCGGGTTGTGCAACACCGGATTTGCACCAAAGCTCCCATCGAGCAGGACATGTCTTGATTCTGTGGCTTGGACAGACAAGATACGAAGCACCACGGCCAGGTGTGCTTGACCAGGTCGAGAAATTCATGACTTCTTCTGCCCAGCAATACGCCACAAAAACATCGCAGGACAAACCGTCAGGGTGCTTGAGTAGTGCTCCAGCTCATGTTGTCTGCAGATCTTGCTAAAGTTGGTGAAAGCCGGCGAAACTTCTATACAAACTCACGCAGCGCTTGTGCATAGGAAAACGACTCTCAAAGGGATGTGTAGACGAGACACGGTCAAGAGTGACGCTCTCACACAACAAAATGTCAAGGGCAACCTGAAATGCAAAGCCAATCTCCATGGCGCAAGGGATGTTGAGCAATTGTTGTCATTGTCCACTACATGGTCCTTCCATATACGCCATGTTCACCAGTGCCAATGGCATCTCAAAACGTTCGTTCGAGCGGTTCAGAATGCCAACAAAAGTGCAAGCATGATCTGAACAAGCTGCATGAACCGAATCTCTGTGGAAAAGGGCAGCTGAAGTCTTTGGTGATTCGATAGTGTGAGTTCATTCCGACAACCAGGACACCGAGACACATTGAGATTTGGCCGCTTTGGTTCGGCAAGTCGCGGTGATCGATGAGGCACGATGACTAGTTGGGCCACTATGGATGCCCAATGCACTATGGATGCCCTAGAAAGCAAAGTTGTTGGGTGGACAATGATAAAGTTAAAGCAGAGCTCCCCACGATCAAGTGAGCATCTTACCATCAACTGAGCAGGTTGGATTGAAATGGATTGAACTCCAACAAACCATCACGGCATCTGTAGGACGTCGATTCACAATCTTTCAAAAGTGTTTGACGCCAAATGAACTAACAGAAAAGGACTTGTTTTGAGCAGCTCTGTCACTCCATTACAGCGGAAACCATGGCTTGAGGCTGCGCTTGCCAAATCAAATCATGGTGTGTATATATATATATACACCATTTATATCCATATATGATTATATATATATGGTCTATGAATCTTGTGTATGAACTAACTAACTGTAAAATACGATCCACTTTGCAGTTGACATAAACCCAGCAAACACACTAAAATCAATGCAAGCAACTTGCTTCCAGCACGCATCTTGTCGCTGTCTGTCATTGGCTGGGCATGGCAAACTCATTTCAGCTCCTTCTAGCTACTTGGACATCATTCTAGCTACTTTCCGCATGAAATCAACTCAAAGAAGCAAGCATTTTCTCCGCCGGTTGGCCTGGGTCTAAGGAGCCTTGAAATCCGCAGAAAAATGGCGTGTTGGGAGAACGTCTATGCAGCTGACATGCTTTTAGACAAAATCAGCTCATCGGTCCGAAAATCTGGCTGCTGCTTATCAAAGCCACGTGCCAAATAATCTTGCTGATAGCTACTCCTCAAGCCTTCCAACATACTGAACTTGGGCATCCAGTCAGGCACATCACGCTTGGCCTTCTCAATGGAGGCAAAGAAGTGCATGCCACGAAAGGGAAAGGCTTTGGGAAATCCATCTGGCACCTCCACAGACTTGGGATCATAATGCACGATCTTCGGCTCAGCCATGCCTGCTGCCTGTGCACAAAGCTTCGCCATGCCATCGAAGGTCACGTACTCCTCGCTGGAGATGTTGTAGACCTGGCCCTTGACTGCTGGATTGCCAATGCATTTGATCATGAAGTCAGCCAGGTCCTCACAGTGTCCCAACTGGGTGATGTACTTCCCGTCATAGGGAATACACACCGGCCGCCCCCGCGTCACCCGATCAAAGAAGTAACGCTCCACGGGGTTGTAGTTCAAGGGGCCGTAGATGTACACTGGACCTTGGGAAAACATTGGTCAACATTGGGCATATAGGGTTGAAACATGCTGACACGTTCCGGCGACAACATCATGGCAACATCTCTTGGATATACTACCCCCAGGTGAGTTAGGAGTTGTGCCAATTATGAGATAAGTTGTTTCTTGCACAAGTCCTGGCACATGTGTCCGCGAAACGTTGACTGAAACCATTCAAAAAGCACATGAGTCACATGAGATAGGAGTCATACTCTTTAAAACATTTTGGGGGGGGGCGGGGGAGTGCCCCCAATTCACCTCTCACCAGTGTCCTTTTTGGAATACATCATTTCAAAGAGATAGGCTCAGCTACCCTCTGGTGTTCTTGATTTTGATGGTAGATGCATGATGAGATGGGAGTTGTGGACACACTTGGAAACACATGAGATGGAACTTTGAAGTTTGCACAGTCACTTCACAAGTCCCAAATCACTAGTGGATAGTATACCTCACTCACCCCAGGCCCTTAGGGCTATCAAAATGTCAGGATGGCCATGCCAGGGCCAAGGGACGGATGGAGGTCCAGTTCATACCCTGAGAATCCAAGTACTGCTCGCATTGCAGCTTCTCCTTGTGTCGGGAGTTTGGATCACCTGGGTTCTCCTCACTCAAAGGGAGCACATCTGTAGGACCATACACACCGGCACTGCTCATCAAAATGAATTGCTCACAGCCTCCGGTGCTCTGAACCCCCCTCAACCAAGGGTTGAACTTCAGCCAACTTTCGCACGTTGTTGTCGAAAACGATGTCAAACTTTCCAGCACCAGCCAAGGCAGCTTTCAACTGTGCAGGGTCTTTCCGGTCGGCCACCAGCACACTGACACCCGACAGCATCTGTTGATAGTCAGCATCACTTACCTGCAAAAACACGACAAATATTGCACAATGGAACCAGTCTTCACTTCCGACGAGCAAACAAACAGCACCAACAAATAGTGTGAGACAAAACTATACCCAAGGCACGCCAGGAAGGGGTTCGGGTTTGCCTCCATTCGTCTTCCCGCGGTTGCACACAACAACATCATGGCCTTGCTCGCGAAGTTTGGCCACCAGGTAACAGCCGATGAAACGTGTTCCTCCCATGACCAAGCACCTCTTTTTTCCACTGTTTCCGGCTGCACACACCACACGGCTGGTGTCTGCGCGTGATGCCGCAACTCGAGACCCGCGGCGTGTGGCTGCCAAGCCGGCCGCAGCGACAGCGGCACTGGCCACAGTTGCAAATCCAAGTTGAGATGATGCAACTTGCGAAGCCTCTGAAGTGCCGACATGTACCTGTGCCGCCTGTGCTTTGGTCACATCAGCCGCGCGAGGCACTGCAAAAGACTGGCTTGAGAGACTGGATGCCAAGAGTGCACCAGCACCGACCACTGCCACGGAACGGCGAGCCATGGTTGAAGATTATGCTATGAGGCAAAATGCTGCGAAGATGGTATCACCTGCTTTCATGAACAAGCATTGGCCACTTAGCGTCAACAGGGAAGTGAAGGCAGTGGGCAGCTAGCTCATGGTCTTCCTTTCTCCAACAGCGAACTAATGGATTCCGGCTGGCAATTGCAGCCCTGCATGCTTCCTGAGCACGAAGGGACACCAAAAAACAGCATTTAAACACTTCCACCCCTTCTGGTTCTGCTGACACAGTTTGAGGTAGGTCGTGGTCTTTTAGCTGTGAGGAAAAACAGCATCAAGGCCTGCACTTTTGTGGGGCAACTGAGGTTCAAAGTTGATTCGGATGATCTTCCCAGCCTTCAAACTGCGGAAAAGCAAACATGACAAGGCGAACAGCGCCGAAACCGCGGTTGGTCTGAGAACGTTCAACGCGCAACATGTGCATAATCAAGGCATGCTCTTTGACTTCGAGGACCGTGCGACCACACTGCACCGCCGCCGAGAACTTGAACCTCAAATGACCCCAAGATCGAAGACCAATTTGACGTTAATAAACTGGACCCCGGCCCTATAGTCGGCAACCACGCAAATCACAGACCGACCAAATAAACATCCGCCGTTTCACCAAATATATGTGCTGCAGTTCTGGGGTGCCTGATCCCGAGAAATCTGAGCCCGGCTGTGCGATTCAGCAAGGCTAGTAAGCTCACCAAAGCTATTCCCATTAGTAACGATGAGCGACGGGCAAAACCTCCAAGCAAACTATGTTCACTCACACTGTGGGTATCGGTTATATATCATGTTTGGTAGTTCGCCGCGATATGGTCATCGTTGACAACAAGAAGCTGAGCAGCTGCTCAGTGCGACGTGTATCTTTTTAAGAACGCATCGACGTATTATGAACGTTCAGGTGCACATCTATCTGCCCTCTTCCCATGAAATTGTGCTACACACTTTGTATGGAAGTCCTCGCGGCAGTTGCCTTGATCTAAGGAATTCTAAGGGAAAAGTGGCGTAATGTTTCTTGATCTTGACCAAAGGGCCCCAATATGTATACATAGAGCTTGCTCTCTATCTGCCCTCAATCAATGGTCATCCTCCGCTTTCCCCCAAGGAAGTTTTGCACAGCATCTAACCGGCCAAGCGAGAGCGGCATGTTATATAAATTGCATTAAAGAATTAATGGAAGACCAAGAAGCTGATCTTTATCATCTTTATTATAAAAAGCCCCTGATGACGATGTCCATGTCCCAAATGATGTCGATGATGATGGTGGTGCTGTTGCTATTGTTGCGGTTGGCTGTGGGCGTTGTCATTACTGGATGTTCGCTACTGCTTTTGATTCGTGCCCTGCAAAATCTCCACGTTTTGGGCCAACAACACACACCTCCGGCTGAGCCGCTGTCAGATGTATGTCTGTTTTGTGCTAAGGCAAGTGATAGCTGCAAGCGCCATCAAGGGGCTGCAGTCTACCAAGTGAACGACGCATGAGCCATGCGAGCAACAAAGAGCAAACCGGAAACCAACAAACCAGTCTTGCCGGCCACCAATGACAAAATGTCGCAAACGTCTTAATCAGCTGTGTGTTGGCGCAATACGCCGCATCAACTCACAGGAAACAACAAACAGCCCCCATCATGATCCATCAAAGAACACTTGTGAATGTGTTGGACGAAAGAGGAAAGCCACATCAATGAGAAGAAGGCAAAGCCTGGAGATATCAAGAAGCTACTAGGAACAAGTGCATCGCTAGTAGTAACAAGTGCCTTACTAACAAGAAGCTACTAGTAACAAGATGCATCGCTACGAGCAACAAACAGCTGGAGCTGGGCAGCTGCCTGGCCAAACAACCAGCATGTGTGCAGCAATGTGGGGATTTCTGTGCTCAGGTTCAGGCAAAGGTGTCGAGGCTGTTGAAGTCTATAGCATTTGACCTGACACTGATGATATTACAGTAAGCGCCCAAAGCTTCCCAGCAATAGGCTTCTCAAACATCAAATCTCTCTGTCGAAATCACCTGACTGCAAAGATTCTCAGGATTGGTTGAACTCTGAGGCCCATGCCATGGGTATCATGGGTAAACATCGCACGCAAGGACGACTGTGGTCGTCTTGATCCGAAACCGTGCTGTTGGTCACTCTCTTTCCCATCTTCGTGAAAACTCCAACCCATGAGCTCACGCAACAAGTTCGATGACCTGTGATTCCTTTATCGCTGGGCTGTCCCCAGCTCTGGCGCTGCACTTGAGGAAGCAACAAATGTGCAATCATGGTAAATATTGGTAAATCATACCCGTCCATCTTGGTTGCCACTTGGACTGGGGTGCTTGCAATACATGATGCATTCCAGCATGCAGTGCGCCTCATTATCTATAATTTAAATAATGGCATCAATATACAATATATGATGTGTCCACAATATATAATTAGTATTATATAATATGTATAGCCTGTATAGCATATAATATATATATATATATCTTCCTTGTGCATAGATCTCCGCGAGTTGATTCAATTGCGCCAGTACGCTGCCACATATTCCGGGTAGATTCTGTCGCTGTGATACAACAGAAACTCTCGGTATCGATGAATCCTTCCACCAGTCCTCGGTGCCACGACCGGCAGGTGCCCCTCTGACTCGCGGCGTGTGAGTCAAGTGAGTCAAGTGTTGGGTGTCGGACTCTGCCAGCAAGGAATGGTGAAGTACAGGAGGACTGGATCCCTTGATTGCCGCCAATTCGCGCCTAAGGTTCTGAAGTTGTTTAATGGTTTTATGGTTTTGTCGTTTTCGGGTGTCCCAAAGCCCGCCACTCTTTTTTCGACCAAACACTCCGGCCATCACCTCCGGACATGGCCGGATCAAAGCAACTCTGAAATAAGTACAAGCGTGAATCGGAAAAAAGCAATTGCATATTGCCGCACTACCAGGTGGAGGCTAGCTACAAAATGCTATTCCTTATTGTCTACTCAATAAAATACTGAACTTGTGATCAAGCAACCCAGCTCAGTGTCGCCATCCTTGGTCTGGATAAAGTGGCCTTGCTGGTCCAAAATCAACATCAGAAAGTGCAAACTAATTTCAACGCGCCGAAGGCCTAGCAGTACTCGGCAGAACAGAACGTAGTAGACATTGGTGGGATGGTTCACCTCAGAGGTTGGCCCTGTGCAAACTTCTTTCACAAGCCGGCTAGGCAACTTATTGAGCAATCAAATGATGCTAACAACGACCTAGACCTACATGGTTTCCCCGTCATCTGCACATGACGACAAACTCAAGATACCCGTGCAGCCTTGGGAATGTCAAACAGGTGTTTGTGAAGTTCCTGCGGCAAACACTTGCTGTGCTTCAGCGTCCACTGCTCGTTCTTGCAGTGTTATCCAGATCACTCACCAAATGAATATATCATATTCATTAAAGAAAAAAAAAGCTACAAAAGGCATAGAAACCATTGCCAAGACTGATGCTGACCCTCTCCTTTTGATCACCGTACTTGGCGTCTTTAGTGCAATACTGGTCATTCTTCCCAACATCCTGCGAGAGAGAAGGGTCAGGCGGTTTTTGCAGTGCAGTCTACACGCCACTTCTCCGATTCAGTTTTAGCTCTTCCAAGGAAACCATCTTTGACCACTAAAGAACCGGACAAAATCGGCCAACAGCTCCTCTGCCAAATAAGTGCCCTGGCCAAAAAGACCGCCAGAGAAACGCTCGTTGAGTCCACCTTGTAGGATGCTCAACAGGCTCTCCGGACTGGTGCCGTGGGTGAGGTACCTCATCCAAGTGAGCGAACAACACCTTACTGCATCATCTCAACCCACGTCAAGCGGCTTAGTCGCAAATGCAAACTATTGGCAAAGCTTACACCCTTCGATGTCCTACTCTGGATCTCTGATGATGCAAGCAAGTCATTACTCTTCACACAGGCAAACATGCAGCTCCTTGTCTACTTGTATAACCAAATGCTTTCTCAAGCCTATCAACGCACCGGTATCCCAATGTAAGACCTCACCCAAGCTAATGCACACTGCAAGGTGCACTTCATTGACTCCACCGTCCAGCTCCGCCGGAAGCTTCTTGGTGGCTGTCTTCATCTCTGATCTGATTTTGGGTGATGGCCGAGGTAGGATAAAGAATTTCGAGCTGATTCGTCATATTCAGCTTCTCTGCGATATATTTGCCCCACAGGCCTGGGTGCTCAAGACGCCAGGCAGCCTTCAATCTAAAGCCGGAATATTCTCCGCTTTCCCTCTGGTCTCGGCCTCCTAACGTCCCTCCAGGCCGCAAGGCTTCTTTCAGAGCTGCATGTTCCTCAGGACTCACTGGCACCACACCAAAGGGTAGACCCACCTTCCCGCTCCAATAAGGAGGAATTTCTGCAGCATTGTATTTCGGCTTGACAAAAAGTTCCATGGTGAAGATTGGCAAGGCCAACTGGAGGTTTGCTTGCCGCAGCCTGTGGCAGCAACTCTCCTTGTCATATGCCGAGTCAAAGCCTTCCTCGAGTTTGTCATCTAGTTTGCGTCGATGTTGCCGAACACCAATGTCGTACACACGCCCCAATTGCACCCGACACAAGGCCAGGTGTATTTTTCTCGGGTTCTTCCCCACTTGCCGCTTCTCCAGCCTTGTGGACAGAAAGAAGTCCGCCTGCCGTGCTTGGATTGTCCTTCCTTGACCTCCACCCCTCTTCTTCTGTCGTGTGCCAAGCCCAAGTGCCAAGCCTCGCAGGGCACATAAAGAACAACAGCTTCATATTGACTAGTCCCAACACCCAAATTTCATACCCCAAACCCTGGCAGCGTACCATAACGTACCCGTCCAGCAAGGGAATGAATGTCGACCTTGAATTCATGCCGAATTGATACTAAACCCAAAATTAACCGATCCAATGAACACACCGCCCTAGCAGCATCTAGGCAGCTTCTCACCAACGAACTGCGCATTATGCAAACCTGAACTTGTCTGAAGGGCACGCCAACAAGATATTGTTGACGTATTGTAAGATACTTTAAATATATCCGAAGCCCTACACCCACCTGCTTCTGCAGCCAATTTGGCATCTTCCGCAGAAGCCAACTCAACGAAAAGCAACTTCGGCTCCGAAGGGCATTGAATAGACTCGTGTCGCTGCAGAAACCTGCGTTTGCGGTCCACATGCAACTGCAGCGGAAGATAGCGGAAGTGGAAATGAGTGTGCCACAAAGAGGATGTCAAGCTCTACGAGCACCGGCCAAGTGAAAACACAAGCTACAGCTGCCAAGCTGCCTCTTTCGCAGGTTGTTGTTCTTGATTCGGTGACATTCCTCCAGAGTGATTTGCCAATGAGCTTCTGGGAAGTATGTCTTTAGTTGCTGCTGAACTTCAGCGTGCTCCTTAGCAGTCCACAACCGCCAGACTCAAAAACAAACTCTGGAAGAAGGAACTAAACAACATCAATGTTAGTTAAATTCTTGCCCCACCGTCAACCCTGCCGTTGAGCGCCTTCATCAAACGCGTCTCTTGACTTCTCCCCCGCTGGCCGTAGGGCCACACCATCAATCCTCTAGGTTTGCATAATTCTATCAAGTCACACTGCAGCCGTCGAGGTGGATCTCTTCGATGCTCACGTAGTCCGGCGAAATGATCTCACGGAGTTCCTGTTTGCAACTGGGTGACAGGCCAAAGCATAGCAGTCATGTTTGCGGCAGCAGCCGCAGCAAACCCAAATCTAGTGATCAGCTCCGTGATGTCAACTGCACTGGCAACAATCACCGGCCTTGGCAATCTCTTCCAACTTCTCTTTCCTCACCTTCTCCCTCTCCTTGGTTCCACACACCAGTCACCCACAAGTGACTGGGAATCACGCGAAAGAGCAAAACTGTGAGGAGAATGATCCAACTGACTTTTGACTCCAATCTGGTCTGCCGGTGCTCAGGTTGAGTGTTCCTTCTCTCAACCGCCAAGTTCGCCAAGTATCTGCCTCGCACACTTTGCAATCATCCATGCCGTTGTCGCACTCCTCATAGCATTGCAGGTAGCAAGGATGATGACCTTGGCCCATCTGAGTGGAAAGCCTTAAAAAGCTTATTTCTCTTTCGAGCCGCTTTCGAGCCGTTGTTGCATGCTGCTTCAGCATATGTCCCGACAACAATTCATAACCGATCCTTTGACATCTCTAACAATCTCGAATGGTTGAGAGAGCCTTGGTCCTGATTACATTCAGGTCAGATGGGGGGCACAGGATGTTCGTCCTGTTTGCGTATGAATTGAGAAAAGGCACAGCTCATTTTCCTCGTGCAAGGCTTGCTGCACCGGAAGCTCTCTGGAGAGTCTTTCTTCACCCAACATTGAACCTCGCTCTCCTCTCCACAGTTGTCGCAACACATGGCCACTGCAGTTTCGCATCGCTTTTTCTTGTCCCAGCACTTTCTGATATCAAAGTGTTCGCAAATCTCATGATGGAACTCTACCAGCTGGGAACACCTGATCTGTTCAAAAGCCTCATTCTTCTCCCAGCACTTGCAGGAGCGGTTGTGGCCACATGCCAGAGTGACCTCCACTTCTTGGTCACACCTAGGATGGTTTCCTTCCCTATGGCAAGCTTGATGGCATCTATGGCCGCAGTCCAGTTCTTCATCGCACACGTGGTGACATTCTTGCCCAACCTCGAGCATCACATCAGGATGACGAGGGCAAAGGAGTGGAAGCTTGTGCCCGACACATCCTTGATCATTCAAAAAACTCAGAACCTCTCGCCATTCCTTGGACTTCCTCTTCAGAATCTCATCATTACCAAAGAGATACACTCCGCATCTGGCTCTTGAGAGGGCTACAATGAGGCGATTCCTCTCAGAGACAAAGCCAACCTTTGCTTGGGCGTTGGAACGGACCAAGGAAACGAGCACAAAGTTGTTTTCATCGCCTTGATAGCGGTCCACAGAGGAACATTTAATATCTTCCAACCGGGCATTCCTCAGCAAACTGCGCAGCAATGAGACTTGGCCGGTGTACATGGAAAGCACGGATATCTCTGTTGCTTTGTAGCCTTCTCGAAGAATGTGCTGGCAAAAAGCCGTGATCATCTTGGCTTCTTCCGGATTGGTTGGGCTGCGCCTCTCTGTAGCTTCTACTTCTGAAAAGCTCCTCATTGTCACAAAGAACATTGACTTCCCAGCCATGGTGAGCATCTGGTTATCCCTGATCCGCTGATGGTTTGTTTGCAATTTTGGGTAGAAGGGCCTCAACAAACCCAGAAACTCATCGCGCATCCGATTTTGCTTGTTCAGCGTGGCTTTGGGGTAGTCCGCCTCCTCACTGGCAAAGAGCCGTTCGATCATCGATCGGTCGAAATTCCTTTCGCGGCCCAGCTGGTATGACTGTATCGCTGGTCTGAGTTGGAAGTGGTCTCCAATCAAGATCAGCTGCTTGCAGGACGGGGGCAGTGCTGCGAGCAATTGTGGCTCCAGAATTTCGGCAGCTTCCTCCACAAGGACAACTGGGAAATCAACATCTGCCAGCAAATCGCACCTGATGGAAGCGCCGCTGATCGTGCAACCAACAATGTCAGCATCTCTGAGAATGCCTGCCATGTGATGTCTCTCCAATTCATTGATCCGTGCTTGGATTTCGTCATTCTCCTTGCAAAGAGCTTCCACCAAGGGCCAGGAGATGCTAGTCTCGCTCTGCAGCCACATGCCTAGCAGTCGTGCCCGGCTTTCGGTATCCAAAGTCCACACGTCGGTCGTGTAGCCCGCATCGGGCCCCCGGGCTACGATTGAAGCCTTTGCTGGAGGTGGTGAGAAAACGGAAATGTTCTTCAGAGTGCCTGGAGTCCAAGTGCACAACTTCTCAAGGCGTTCCTGCAGGGCCTGACGCTCTTTGACTTCATCTTCTGCTTCTTCATCACTTAAGTCGGTTTCCTTCAGCACGGCTTTTGGAGGCTGCACAGCCATGCTCTCACGAGGCGCAAATGGACACCATTTCTGAAAGCAACTCTGGAACTCTTGTGGGGCGGAGTCGTCTCCATGTACAATGCTTTCACGGATTCTCTCATGCTGCTGCTGATGACGATGCCTCTGGTTGGCTGGGCGATTTCCGGAAGCCAACTGGCATCCATGCAGCAGCGATAACTTTTGCTGTGGAGGCGAATGCTGCCAAAACAGTTGAAATGGATCCAACTTGACTGACAGGTCATCCAGCGCCCTCTGGATCTGTGGTTTCAACTCGTCCTTGCGAAGGATCAAAGATCCTAGGTTCAGAGAGCTAATCGATGGCAACACAGAATTACAAGCTGAAGGCCTAAACATTGGGAAATAATGGCCCGCTTCATCATGATACATTAATCATTGATCATCACGCCGATGTGTTCGTTGACTAAAGTCAAAAGTATGCTCGCCGCAAATCGGCAGACTAATTGCTGAAAACATTGAACACTACCAACCAAATCCAACTAAAGCACCCTTGAGACTGAACAGCACAACAGCACTATCATGCACTATCCACAAACTCTGTTCTCAAATCTGCCCAAGCACGAAGCATCTTCCCCACCGCTCGATCCTTGATCTTCTCCTTGCTGCGGATCTGGAGATTCCTGCCCTTCAACTCCTCACTCTCGCAGCGACCACCTGAAATCAAAATCTCCATGGACACACATCAGAAGTTGAGTGTGTGGCATGGGCCAAGGCTGGGAAGTCTGCTGTATCAAACACAGGCGACGTGCGGCAAAGGGACAACTGCGGCATGCATACCAAAATTATTCCAAGACATCACTAATACTGCTGACTCACGATGTCTATATATATATTATATCATTATCTATCTATCCATCCATCCATCCATCCATCCAATATAAACTGTACATAGAGTTTCTTCAGAACCTATGGCAAACTGAGGAGTGTTTAGGGCAATGCCGCTTACGTCGCTTTCCCATTTGTGGGCATGGTGCCTGAGAGTACCGCAAGCTCCTTGCAGGCTTGTGTCGGGCGACAATGCAGTTGCTTTTCATCTTTCTGGACCTTTTCTCACATTGGGTCTGACATTTGAGCGTGTCTTCTAAGGGTTGGAATCCTTCCAGCGTTTCCTTCTCGCCTGCAACCTCACTTGGGCCCCATTGTGAATCAACCACAGTTTTTGGCCCAAAGGATTCTCGCAGCATTTCACTGTTTGGAGGATACCTGTTTTGGTGCCAAAGGCGGTGTCGGGGATTTTCAATCTGTTCCGAGTGACTCACTCTTTGCATAATATGAAGCGCGTGCCCCTCGTGTGACAAATCTCCCGACCAACTCTACTAACTATATATATATATCTTCTAAAGTATCTTGTAATCATTGCCAACCCTACAATAGCATACATTATATAGCTAAGTCTGCGAACGATAGCACCAGGGCTATCTGAAGACCGCATTTTGGCATCTGCGTTGACTCTGAATAAGGATCTGGCCAATGCGAACAACATCAGCACCAGGGCAGTGCTTGAGGCAGTCCAGAAGACATTCATCAAGCGCGTGGTTCTTGTAGGTCAAAACCAACACTCGCAGTTTCTTTGTCTGATTCAACTCAGACTCAGACCTCACACCATGGCCCATATGGCCACATCAAACTTCAAACTTGAAACAGCCCAGTAGCTTTAAACAAATTGTGACACGTGTGTCTACATGCATTTCACTGCCTTAGTGCTACAATGACATGCATGCTCTCTGTGCTGTAGTTGAACCCGAGGCTCGGATTGGAGAAAGTGAGATCACTTTCAGAGTCAGAGCTGTCAAAGGGCCTCGAAGCACAAATTTCCTGACTGGCCCTGAACTGCACTACACATAAAGCTAATTGCAAGTCAGTTTTGAAAAGCTATGCCATACGCTACCCATGTCCAACACTCAAAGCCAGGCTACGGAGAACTCAAGCCACGCTGTGGGGGAATGTAAGGGCGTCGAGGTTCCAGGCACTCTGATAGCAAGGAAGCTGGAACTTTGAGAAGATGTCGAATGGCCTCGCCAGGGAGGTGGCCGATCCTGCTAAAAAGGTTGGCCAAACGGAAAATGACACCGGCAGTTAAGGCTCCAGTGTGTGAGTGTGCTCTTTCCATCTCTTTCCCAACTATTCAATCTCCCATACCAGGTCATCTCCGGCAAAGCCGAGCAGTGGACCTTTCAACCGATGATTCACCAAAAGGGAACATGTTGCCCTGACATGCAAGGTGGTGTCTGGTGATGATGTGGTTATAGCACGGCGGAGTGCAATGGTGTGCTCCGACTTACGCTTTCATTCCACATCATTCCACAATGCTGTCATTTGGTTTTCCACCTTAAGAGCTATGACCAGCATGCAACCAAGGGTCACAAGTCTCACTTCCGCGACCCCAATTATTATACTTGCATGCACTGCATAAACAACCCTCCGGGTCGGAAACTGAACGTGTAGTTGTGTGCACGTTTTAGCACAAGGAAGCCACCAAAACCACAAAAACACCCATGTTTCATGTCAGTGGGTGCGATAAATGCGCGGAGCGCATACGGAAAGCTAGTCTCTTCCTATCATAACATGCAGGTTGTCGACCTAGACTTCCTGTGCGAAAGCCTTTTCGTTTAGCATTTATAGATGCTCCCTGGCCCTAGCCTGCACGCCAGTGAAGCTCTTCCCAGTTCCAGGAGGCCCTTGGACGACTGAAAGGGTGGAGGTGAGGATGACCTCCAATGCTTGTCGCTGGGATGCATCGAAGGAGTTCTCACCTGACTCAATGGATTTCTCCAAAGATCTTATCGTAAATCTGCTCCATGGAAGCTCCTTGCGCGCTTCCTTTGCACTCTTCGGAAGTCCCAGCAGGCTAGAGCCAAGGGGAACAGTTCCATGTTCTCCTCCGGTCAAGCTCTGCAACCGCCGCAAGACTGGACCAAAAGATAGAAACATGACCGGGCTCTCCACCAACAATAGGCCACCTGGTGGAGGCGCCAATAAGCATGAGATGAAGCTACTTCTGTCGATCCGATTCAGATCGTCCAGAAACTCAATCGTTACGGTCATTGATGTCTTCTTCTGCACGTTCTTGTCTGATGGCCTTTCAGCAACTCTGCCCCAAAGGACTTCTGCAAATGGTTCTTCGCTAAGAGACATGCACACCAAGTTGCTTGGCATGAGAACCCGGGTGGGGAACGGCACTGGATGCTTGAACATATTTGTCACCTCCATCGAAGCAACTAAGCCCTTGGATCCCCGCACCAAATGAAACTCCGACACCGACGCACGGAACACACGCATGTCTGTTGCATCCCCGTTGAGGAAATCTCGAATTCCCTTTTGCAGCGGCAGAAAGCAGTCTGCTCGCAGAAGCCGGAAGTAGGTCTCCAAATAATCCGACATTGTCTCATACATCCAGGACACTTCTGGCAAGTCCTGGAGGTCTGATAGATCCTCTGCGAGGATGTGAGGCACCAGCGGGAGCTGTCTGCGAGAAGAAGCCCACTGTACTAGGCCATCTTCACAGGCTAAACGGTCGCTCAATGCATTGATCATGGCAATCAAAGAACTTACACGGCCTTCTCCTGTCGCGAGAAAGACTGATCTCCTGGCAGATTTGAGATGCTCCACCCCCGAAAGTTCTCTGAATGCTTCATTAAGCTCATGTCACAAACTGAGAAGGGGCCCAGGATGGCCCAGGGAGAAAAAACAACTCAAAAAGAAACTCAAAAGGCCAGCTCCGAGTTTCAAAAGGTATGCTTCCATAGGACGTGCTTCCAAAATCTGGTCAACTAGCTTCTTGGCAGTGGCATTGAGGCTGCCCTTTCCAGTGTCCTCAACAAACACAAACTGCACGTCCATTGGGAGCCAGCTTGGGCAAAACAACGTCAGCCGATGAAACACCATAACATGGAAGTGCAATTAGCTCAAAGTTCAACAAAATTGAGACTACCCTGCCAAGCTTCATCAGAACCGTCCAATAAGTTGGGCAGTTCTCGCTGCCAAAGTTTTGACCGAAGAACGTTCCTCAAGAGACCAAGTTCACTTGCAGAACTTCCGCCACGGCCACAGGCGGGGAGAATTTCTTCGAGGAATAGGAGGAGTTCCTCCCTTAGAGCAACTACGACACAGGAACCCAAAACATACAGGAATGGAAAGCTTTCAGCGACAAATGATGCCCCACAACTTCCCCAAACCAACAACAGCAACAACTGCCTACAACCCATGCGCTTCAATCTGGGCCAAATTATGCCAAATTCCAAGTGATGAGTGCTCATGTGCCACAGGATGTCACAGGAATGCTCGGGTTTAACATGGCCCAACAGTCGACACCCCTATAGACTTGCCATAGAATATGTTGAGCCTATAGAATGTGGCTCAACATAGTCTATATCAAGTGGCCACGGAAGAAAGAAGACTTGCTATAGACTGGCCATGGTGCGCTAGGTGCACAGAATCCGCCTTCTTTGAAAGCTTGGTTCCCAAGAGGTGCTGCAAATGTGGACGGCAGTACATGTCGACCCGCATGAGGAGGTGTGAGCCATGTCTTGTGTAGCCCTCTCTTAAGCATCGAAGAAATTCACCAGCGACTGCTGTATCTGCAATGGATTCCAGGGTGGAAGCAGGGCCACCTGGAGGAGGAGGAAATGAAATGCAATCCCCGACCCTCGGCAGCACGGGCCAAAGATCAGTAAATGAAGTCAAATTCACCACTTGCGTGGCATTCGGGCTGCCATCAACTTTGAGATGCACAAGTTTCCTCTCTTCATCGATGCGAATAAGCTTCGCTTTGAGCATTGACTTGGGTGGTGCTTTCGGCTGGTGCTCTGGGGTCGGTTCCGCCTCTTCCTCAGAGGCATCGTCTTCCTCGGACTCTGGTGGTGGCTCCTTGGATTTCTTCTCTTTCTCCTCTTCCTTCTCTTCATGCAAGAAAGCGCAGGCGTCTCCTTTGGTACATCGACCTTCTTGAAAGTATTTACAAGGAAGTCGCTTGAACTCAGTCCTGACTTGCTCCGACCCTTGCGGCTGATCTCGGGGGTCATGCGAAAAGGTGCAGCTCTCACCTTTGAGGCACTGCGAAGGCGACTGGAAAAAGTACGTGCAGGGTCTGGGTGGCCTCGTCTAGGCGTTGGAAATCAATGTTTGGTTCACAAAAGGCACCCTGAGTGGCCCTAAGCAATGACAACAAATGGCACAGTTCTATCTTTTTGCTATTGCATGCTATTGCGACATTCAACCAGGGAAAATTCCATTTCAGGAGAATGCAACTCCGTTGAAGTTGGAACCCCGCCTTGTCACAAGCTCATCGTCACCATGGGCAAATGTGCAAGTCGCGCCTCTTTTGCAATTGCCTTCCGTAAAGTGTCTGCACATCCTGGTTTTCCGCAAACGAGAATCACCAATCATGGCTATTCCCAAGGCAAGGTCGCAGCAAATTGAAACTGAAGCTGCGCACATGATGCAAGGACAGTAACTCAGTAGTCGAAAACTTATACAGCGGTTGCAACATGCCCAACAGCATGTTGAATCTGCAAACATCCACATCTTGACATCTGTGCGGCGATTTTTCGTTTTGGTGCCGGAAGCCTCACACAAAGGCATCGAAACTCCAGGCAGGTCTCAACAAGTAGCATATCTTGCACCCCCCCAAAACTGTGTTATTTTACATCTCGCGCATCACGCATCTGACTTTTGCTCAGATCTGGCATCATCGTGGCCTCACTCTGCAAGGAGTGGATTGGCGTGGAACTAGGGACCGCGCCAGTTGAGCTGGGCTGCGTTTGGCACAGCATGACGCAGAAACTCACAGGGAACCGAACAGCAAGCAGGCCCATCATTGATCAATTAGAAAACAGACTTGTCAATGCGTTTGACAACATCCAGAAATCACCTCAGTGAGGCTCAAACCTGTCTGTGGGCAAAGCACGTGGTCGGAGCCGTGGAGCTAGGAATCTCACGATGGTGATGGATGTGCAAAACAAAGAAAGCCAGCCTCCAGTCGAGATAGTGGAAGTGATGTATATGGAGAGTGGAAAGTGCAAGCAACTCGATGGTGCTGCCAGTGCTACTATAAAATCGAGTTGCCGGAACGTACACTAACAACAATGATGCAGGACATGCTGAGATATTCTACAACATGTTTTGCATCGTGAATATATCCAACCTCAAACGGAAATTTGCAAAATTCCTACGCCAAAGGGCCTTGGACCGTAACTCCACCCAAGTACGGACGCTCCATCTCTGCACTCTGCGCATCTCTGCACTACGCGGTTGTGATGCTATCTTCTGCCCACCAAGACTGACTGCTCATTCCACCATTTACCATCTCCATGTCAGAAAGTAGTTGTGAAAAAGGAGATGTCCAAGAAGATCTAATAAGCATCTAAACATATCCAAATTGAAAATTGCATTAATCAAAATGATCACTGCAAGCAATGCTCGCCCGCCTGAGACTTGCGTGCTCGACGGGCTCGCCTGCAACACGCAGAAGAGTTTCCAAGCACCAGCGATTCGTAGCAAAGAATAGAACTAGAACCGACAACTTCAGTGTTAGCAAAGCGATTCCTCTCCCAGCTCCATTCCGCCCTTTCGATCCCTTTCGCCTCTGCATGGTGGGCCTGGAGTGCCACGAATGGCTTCCAACACGTCAAGTGATGCATACCGATGCACCTAGCAACGACAACCACTCAGCCCTTCTCAGGTGGTTGGTTGAACATCTTCGCACCGTTCCCTATCATCAAACTTGATGTGCCCAGTCTATGGTGGCTGGTTCTTTATTGAAACTGCTCTGAACAGCCAAGCAATGTTGCTCACTCGTCAACTGTTCAGTGCTCTCATTTTCAAGAAATTATCAGAACTCCATCGCTCTCCAAAGCCTACGTTCAGTTTCTACATCTCCAAAGCCTACACTGCATATTTGAGTATCTTTGTCCACTGTCCATCTCACCTCTCAAACTTGGCCCCTTTTCTTAAGGGCGTGCCTGCCACATGCATTCCACCAACTTGAGCCATCTTGATTGAGCCCTGTTGACTTCATCATGTCTGCGTTTCCATGCATTTCCTGTTCTGTGCATACCTCTGGTTCCAAAAGCAAAAGCAAGCCGCAACTGGCACCTGGCTGCTGGAAAGGCGTTCTTCCAGCTTCACCTTGTAGCAAGCATATCCTTTTTCTACAGCATGCTTAAAAGTAAAAGCACTCGTCAAACTTGAACCTGTGTGCTTCCCACTGCCTGTTGCACCATGAATAATAGCCGGTCTTACAACAAGGGATGGACATGGCCCTTTCTTTTCCTCCAAGTTTCCTGCCCAAGTCTTGACTCATACAGTACCACTTGCGTAACTGATATAACTGATGCAAGGAAACACAACTGTACATGGCATGTGCACGGAGGGACTGCTGAGGACGTGCTAACGATTGCCCTGTCGCAATACGCCGTCCCATTGAAGCCATTCGTTCCAATCCCTGGTGAAAAAGGCACATTGCTGACAGGCATTGTTGATTCGACTGCGGCCTGATGCTTCATTGTGATGACTTTGCAGGTCAAAGCAATTCTCATTGATGACGGGCCCACAGCGACAGCGTGGACACATCTTGGCATTCGGATACTGGCGTCTGAGAAATTCGGCCGAAGCCGCTTCTTCCCTGCGTGTAGCCTGCCGACTCTCCGCTTGCCGCTGCCGACTCTCCGCTTGTCGTTGCCGTCTTTCCAATTGCCGCTGCTGATGTTCAAATTGCCGCTGCATATTCGAGACTTGGAACTGGATCAAAGCTAGCTTTTCAACCCAAGCAAACAAATTGAACTCTATTTTGAACCCCTGCGTTCAGCAAGTTCATCGCTTTGACCCTTGCCCACCTCTTCTTGAAACCTCTGGTTGTGTTGCTGCCAAATCCGGTTCTCAATGACCTCATTCTGAGCAGCTCTGTACTGACCAAAAACATCATCTGGTAAAGCCCTTGCCAGGGATTGCTCTGTGTAGTGACTGCTGCACTGTGCTTGGAAGGCTAGATTGTGCCGCACACATGGTACAAATCCACCCCTCCTCCGGTGCTCATCAAGCATGGTGTCACTGCCACGAACACGCTGCAAGAAATTTCTCACCATGGCTGGGCTACAATCTGAGCAAATGAAATGCTGATTTGGACACATCAAGCTGCCTGGCTGGTCGGCAGGGGCTTCATCAATTCAAAGCTGCTTGTGCAGCTTCCTCTCTCAGGCGCCAGCGCCGCAGTTCCGCAGCCATCTGTTCCACTTGCGAGTTCAAAGCTGGGATTTCACCAGTGGAAACGGTGGCGGCAGCATCGCGCGCTTGGCGCAACAAAGGCATGACTTGGATGCGCTTCGCATAGCGCTCGACACTGGCAGCTGCCATTGCTGAGAGCTTCTTCAAGATCTCCGCATCCTCTAGCACGCGTTGATCATGTTTCTGGGTGATGAACTCAGCATTTGCTTCCTCAATGAGGTCCGAAAGGAAGTCATCATCGAAGTCTGTCTTGCCCGTAATCACTTGGACAATTGTGACTCCAATTGAGTAAACCTCCGACTTGTCGTTGAATTTGCCTCATACGATCAACTCGAGAGGAACCGGTCCCTTTCTCCAAAAACATCGAATGGGATGACTAAGTGAGACCAACGAGTGCAAAAGAGACCTTCCTTGATCAGTCGAGTCACCAGTCTCCACATATCGTTTGCACATAAAGCCCGGGGTGCCTGCTGGACCACCACTCTGTGTGAGTTGCATGGTGGTGCTGCTGTGTCCTGGTCGGTCTTGAGGCAAGAACGCATGGACCTGATGGATCGTGGTGATGCAGGTGGCTGACTGCTGTGAGCAAACCAGAGATGATGCCGCTCCTCCGGCCCCAAGTGAGCTGTCGGGCCTTCTCATCATTGATGAGATGTCGGTCCAAACTGCCCTCAGGCTGAAACCCATAGACCAAAATAGCACCATCAGCATGCAAGCAATGCCCCAGCAGGGGGATGATGTTGGGATGGGTGAAGGCGGTTAAGACCTCAACGGCAGCCAGGGAACACGCTGAAGTCGCTGAAGCAACAGAATGGTTTCATATGTTTTAGTGATATGATGTGCTGTTGTCAATAATGCAGGCGCTGCCCAAACATTCCAGGCCTTTCAACCACCATGTAGTGTCTAAATGTCTGATATATAGCTACATTACAGTAGATCGTTGCAGTTTAATTTCGGTGACCGGGTCAGTTCTCACGAAAGGAGTGCTGTTCGTCTTACATTCTAATGAACGTGCGAGAGAATTGCCCGCGGAAACTGTATGCATCGTGTTTGCCGACCAACGTGCGCTTTGTCGGCCAATGATCCTTCTTGTTGCAACCAGACTTGAGGTGGCTATATACTATATACGACAGCGCGGGCTTCACATGTAGGACCGGTTGCTTGTTGACATGTTTTGGGACTCTGGATCGTAGTCAAACAACACTTGGGTAGAGAGTAGAGAGGTATCAAAATGGGGTGCGCCTCGCAAGCAGCAGAAAAATACATTGAGCTCT